GGCGAGCAGTCGGCCCAGACTTTGCATGAGACATGATGTAACGAGAGAGTGGAATGATTTGGTCCGCGCATACTGATCCACCAATGGCTCAAGGTTGAACCGTCTGTCGTGCACTATGCCCAGTACAATGACAACAGCATTGAAGACGAGATCCTCGTACTCATCGCTTCCGGCATAATGGCTTTGTATAGCGAACAGGGCGTCGAACACTTCGCTCAAGAGCTTGACGATCTCAATCTCCGGAACGAAGTTGAAACGGCGCAACAATCCTACAAGCTCTCCTGGCGGCTGTTCCTGCCATTTGATGAGACCGAGTATGGTCGGATCTTGGGAGTATCGGGTACTACAAAGGAACGTCTTGACGTGGACAGATGCCATTGGACCCATGACATGGTCATCCTTCTTCTTCGCACTCCAAGGTAGGCCAAGGTATGCTCCCTTTCCAGCGATCATGCCTGAGGTGTATTCGTCGTATCTGTACAGCGTCAAAGCATGGTCGCCATCGCGGGCGAAGGCATCCTGGTTCCAGAGGGGCATCCAGCAAAGCGCAAATGGAAATCCGGGGGCATCGGCAATGCTCATAACCAAGTGTGATCCGGGAACATCCTGGGGGTCGATAGCAAGCCGGACTGTCGCGTTCCATCCCTCGCCTCGCTGGGCTGCTGTAGTGCGCCATGCGGTATGGCCTGCACTGTTAGTTGACGGGTATATGCACCCCTCAATGCGCTCCCCAGAGCTCTTACGGACCTCTATGGTAAGCTGGAGGTTGGTCATTTGAGAGGTTTGGATTAGCGGGACAGTGCCAGTCTTTGGGTGGGCCAGAAAGGCGTTCTTTGGGAGGAAAGGCTCGACGAGCGTGAGGTAGATGTCGCTGCGTGGCTTTGTCGGAGCCCCCGAGAAACCAATCTTGCGACACTGCCTAATGTTGTGCAGCATCGTGGGGATCTTGGCGATGAGGCCCTCGGCGTCTGCATGGACGAAGGCTTTCATGTGTATGGTAAGTCGACTGATAGGCGCGTTCAGCTTGTATTTGCCGGTGGCGCTTGGGTATATTTCTGGCAATACGCTGTCCCAGCCGCCATCACTATCCAAGATATCTTCTCCAGGTGTTGCTGTGCTGTACATCCTGACGGTCTGATCGGCCTCTGACCGGGCTTGCAGTATCTGATTGACAGACACCACACCGACTGCGATGGATCTCTTCAGCGTCTTCTGGTCTCTTGACAAAGCGCGGGCTCGCGTGCTTGCAGTCGCGGAAGAGCCTGGTCTCGCATCGGATGTCTGTGTCTGTGATCGGGACTGTTCGAGGCTCGGGCGATGGCGTTCATCCGAAGAATCTGTGTTTCGTGATTCGGTGTGTCGCGAGTTTGTTGACTCCTTCCGCTTGGAGCCGAACATGACGCTGCGCCTTCCTCCCTTGATGCTGCCCTGCTGGGAAGGCTGCACCGACCCCTTGCCTGGCGGTGTGTCCTTGCCCGTGCCTGCCTTCTCGGCTGCAGCCGGCGAGCGAAGTGGCTCGTTTGTCATCAGCCTGAAGACAAGATACAGAGTAGTGCCGGATCCTGCGCCCTCACCAATGTCGGTCAAGCTGAGATCCACAAGCAGTGCGCGCAGTTTGTCATTGCTCAGGGACACGGCTGATCCATCTCGCCCAGTCAAGTCGAATGAATACGCCTCGGAGAGTGGTTGTGGCGCTGATCCCGGCGTCTTCAGGCACAGGTACATGCTGATTTGAGCCGCGCCATTGACGACGTCTCCCGTCACATGTTTCAGACTGACGAACAAATGGTTTAGGTTGTGCTCGTCGACATGGGCTGTTGGTCGGCTGTCCAGTAGGCTCATCATCGACTGCAGTTTTGTGACTTCGATGGCCGAGTCGTCGCCCGTCAGGATGCGGCCGCGCTGCGAGGGGCTCCGTACGATGACGTCTCCGCAGAGCATCTTATTGCCTGCCACAAGGTCCCAGACGGTCGCCTCGCGTACCTTTTCCAGCTCCTTGGCCGTGAGAACCTTGTGCAACAGCTGGCGGCGCGCCGTGTCCAGGCGGTTCACTAGCCGTGACATCTTGTCCAACGAGCCATACTTGCGTGCCAGTAGCAGCTCGTGCACCTTTGTGGAGTGCCATTCGCGAAGGCAGGAGGCGATCTCGTCGACCAATGGCTCCTGGGCGGAGGTGGGTGTCTCGTCGCCAATCTTCAGCATCGGTACTGGCGCGGGCGGTCGTGGAGCGGTCGGGTCGGATATGGGCGAGAGCGGGAGCATCAATTGCTGCAGATGCTCTTCGCGCGAGGTCCACTGCGAGTGGGTGCTGCCCGCGCGCTTTCGGGCAGACCTGTGGCGTGAGAGTGGGCGGGCCAGGGACGAGGGCAGTGCAGAGACGGCATCCGTCTTGGAGGCTCGTCGCGCATTCGGGCCAGAGCCTTTGGCAGAGGGAGAGGTCGCACGTGTGCTTTCGGTGGGCGTGACGATGCCGTTGGTCGGATGCGCGTAGTGGCTGCCACGACCCGAGTCGTGTCCAGCGTCCTGGTTCGCCGTGTCTTTGCTCTCGCCCAGGACTTCACGCACCTCGACGCACGATCGCGGGAATATGCCAGAGAAGACGCGTGCCTCGAGTGTCTGGCCCTTCACGCTCGTCAGGCCAGCCAGCAGCGAGGGCGGCGCAACCAGATATCCTCGATACCATGATGCATCCTGGCCGCCCTGCTCAATGATGTACAGCTCGTCACCGATCTCGAGGGGCAGGTCGGCGGGCGACGAGGGCTGGAAGGGGTATATGCATATTGCGAACGCGATGCGCGGGAGCGGTCTCCAGCTCGGCATGGCACCAGACGTGTCGGGCTATATTGGGGGGAGTCGGCGACAGAGCATCACGAGCAGTCGACGGTAGGATGTGTTTCGGGGGAGCTCTTCCAGAGAGTTTCAGATACGGGTGTTGGAGGGCGCGCTGCTCAAGGTGCCCCTGATGAGATTACCGAAGGAAATCTGGGGATATGTCCAAAACCTTATTATGGTAAGCGGGGCACGTCCGACGTTGAAGCAGGGCGAGGGTGATTACAATGTGGCTGTAGTAGTCTAGGGCAGACGGTCGCGTGCAAGAAGAAATTATGTACAGCAAACAAAAGTTTCGACTGCGCAATGTTGACAACCTTCGCTGCACCGTTCGGTAGCAGCCGTGCATGCAGGGCGCTCGGGGCACAGGCTTCGTATCATCACCAGCATGGCCCTGGCCTCGAGTGTTGGTATCATCATCACTCGACGCGTTCCATGTCATAGCGCCCAATATACGCGCATCTCACATGCATCGGCCCAAGATTCCGTCGCCGTGTCCATCTGCAACAGGACATCTCAATCTTGGAATCTCGCCGTTTTCGAACCACGTTGCCAGAAGGGAAAGGCAGGGGACGCTACAGCCGGTGTTTAATTGGTGAATAACCTTTGATGCACATCTCCCGCCTGTCTTGGCTTCATTTTGGGCCAACAACCTTCCAAAGCACGTGCGTCTTGCTTTTAACTCCACACCCGGCCAACGTTCATTTCAGACCAGGCAACGGTCCGAGCTCGCTGGATACTTCTCCTACATGACACGAACTGCGAATCTGTGTTCTGCAGTCGTCAGTCTTCCAGCCTTCCAGAATAGTCAGCACGCGATCTCCGCGCACAGAGCCACGAGGTGAAACCGCGACGGTGGAGCCACCTCCGATGGGGCTGCACACGCCGCAAACACGCGCGCGATGTGGTGTGCCATCATTTGGCTGTATGGCGGTGCACTAAGCCAGGCACTTGCCGTTAGGGTACATTGCGGCCACAGCGTCCATCACACGACCGTGAACGCATCCCACCGACCTTAACACCGTTGAACGACCATCGAAACACCGAGTTAATGGTCCACTCAGAGGAAGTGGATCACAGTATGGTGCCCGAGGACGGCGAGTGCCCTCCCACTTCACACGTGTGTCGTAAAGGAGTATCAGTGGGGCTACAGGCTTCGGAACCTGGGCCCTGGGAAAACTTCTTACTAAAGTCGGGCTCTAGACGCTCTGATCTACATTAGAGCTTGTCAACGTACTGAGGAAATACAGATCTGCTCTGTACACGTCTGTACTGCAGTAGTCTGGTCGGAACAGTCCCGAGTTCTCCTCTGCAGTCTACGTACCCACTTTGGGATCTTGGGCCGCGAAAGAGACAGACGTATAGTGTAGGACATGGTCGTAAGTATGAAGATCAAGAAATACGCGATTTGCTTTTCCGTCAGGAAAATGTTTGACAGCACTTACTGACAGAATGTACTGACCCCATGTCGTGAACACGCCAGAGGTTCAACTGTTCATCGGCTTCGAGACTGGACACTGGAAGGACAAGAAGGTCCAACAAATCAGCGCAATCGAGCTCCCTAAGTACAGTCGCGACAACGTCGGATCTAGCTCTACGTGCATGCCATCCGCTCCGCGTTGCGGGCCGGCGCGCGCCTATGGACTCAAACTTGCTCATCTGGCGGCACCACATCTGCGCATCACGGTGCCTGGCGATCTTGGCCGACGTGCTTCTCAACTCTCTTAATGATGGTTCAGACCCAGAAAACACGATCTTGTATGGTCTGACAGCTGACAGCTGACAGCTGACATTTTCATCCCCACTACAAGAGTAATCCCCCACGTTTTTCACCCTTCTTTCCATCTGAAACGTTCATACAAGCTGTTCTGCCACGAGTTATATCGATCGACACGGACACAGACATGAACATGGACATGCCTTCGGCCACCTCCGCTGATGCTCACGCAAACCTCATGGCATCCATGCGTCCCGGGGCATCAATGTCAGCAATGGACATGTCGGGGATGGCGTCGACCTTCTCGAGTAGCACCCGGGTCACGCTTTGGTTCACAGAATAGACGACGACAACAACGGCGACCTACGTCTTAACGATCTTCTTCCTCTTCTCCTTGGGCATCTTCAATCGTTTTCTGAGTGCTTTCAAGAGCCAACTGGAGAGAAAATGGAGGATGCAACAGCAGGCCGAGAGCGCACCAGAGTTCATACCCAATACGGAGAAACTGGCCAACCACAGTGCCCGTGGCCACGCAAGACAATGGAGCCGTGCGCTGCGACAACAACCTCTCGAACTGGATGAGAAGGACAGAGAAGAGATTGAGCCTTTAAGCCCAGTCGTACCACAACCAACTGCGGCGGAGGAGACTGGTACTACACGGGGCTCGACTGCATCACGCAAGATGTTTTGGGTAGCGCAAACCCCTTGGAGTTTGAAGAAGGATGGCATAAGCGCTGCTTTGGAGTTTACTCGAGCATTGATCGGCTACGTATTGTACGTTCGTGAACGAAACCTTTGAGAGCTGGGATACTAATGACACAGTAGAATGCTTGCTGTTATGACTTACAACATTGGCTTCCTGTTTGCTGTCACGGGAAGCGTACTCCTCGGCGAGATGGTATTTGGGCGGTACACACGGGGCTCTGCAGGTCTAGCTGAGGATGGCTGTCATTCGTGAGCAGCAAGCGACTTCGAGCTGTGGGGGAGAAGGGTTCACCTTTGATGTGCTATCTTCCTCTGTCAACAAGGCAAGCAGACTACGAGTAATGCACGACAGCGAAATCCATGATTTGAGGCGTGAAACATAGAACTATGTTTCTAAAAAGCTGTGCAGAACGTAAATGGGAGGGATGTAGGCTTGCGTCTCCAATCTCCATTCTTAGAAGAGCAGCCTGATCCTGGGCAGAATGGAACGTTGTCAATTTAAGAATCTGTTATGCGAGATCTGTCACCTGAGAATTGTGGTTTGTGACTCGTGTTTCGTCAATTAGGAAACGTGGAGTCGCTCATCCCAGTCGCCTCGCCTTCCTCCATTCGGCAGCAGCCACCCGGCATCCGACGAGGGGTATTTCAGGCGGCGGTCCTGTTGTGCTTGACACCGAGAAAGACACTCACCACAAATATTAACGCAACAGCTCTGCCTGACAAAAGACCATGGAGGTAAGTACAAAATCTCGTCAGTCCACCGCGTGTGCACGTGCCTTCGATGCGTCGCGAAGGCAGCCGCAAGGCAGTCGACGAGTAACCATCTAGGATGAGAGCGACTGACTTCGACAATGATTGCTCATCGCATCGCACTCGCTGACTGATTCTCAGGCCCTTCGCCGTCCGGTTGCGCAGATAGCGTCGAAAGGTACTATGGCCAATCCCCTAGCTCCCCTTCCAGATGAGCTCATCCTGGAAATATGCGAGGTATGTTATGCTCCGTGTCTTTATCAGTACGTTCAAACGATAAGGTTCCTCGTACAAGCAGATGTGTCGCATATACTAACGTTTTTTCTTCCTCGTATAGCGCGTTTTCCCGTGGGATGGATCCGAGCGATCGACTTCTGAACGAGCCTCAGCAAGGCCTACCTTTTCCGCTCTTGCTAGGACTTGCAAGTACTTGTATCCCTTCGGGATGCGGTTTTTCTATGAGAGCTGTCATATCCCGGATCCCGGAAGCTCAGGCGGCCTCCTCCGCACATTACACAACCATCCCGAGATGGTCTCATATGTTCGCGAGATATTGATCGGCGGATTCTGCGACGGGAAATATGCAGGTGGCAATGACCTAAGCATAAGCAAGGCAGAGATGACTGCACATATCCGGACATTATCCCTCCCTTACGAGAGCACTTTGATCGAGGCCGTTGCTCTTCATCCGGAAGAAGTAGGGCTAGCGCTTCTTGTCTTGGAGGCTCGCACCTCTCTCCAAGTCCTTTCCAGATTGCATCACCGTTATAGTAGTCATACTTACTGCTCTACTACTCCATTGTGGAAGCTTCGTAGGCATGGATTCCGTTCAACACCTGAAGACAATGCACATATGCCTCATCGGGCCCTCTGGCTTACCCCCTTGCTTCACGCAGCCCAGCAGTATTTAGGTGCACCAGCCGATGCATCAATTGGGTTCGCAAAACTCTGTTTCCTGTCACTAGACATGACTGGAATACCCATGGCTAAGATAGCTCCTGTATTGCATCTGCCATCGCTCAGGACCTTGGAGCTTCACGACATATCATACGGTGTTCCATCATTTGGCATCGACCATGGGTCTTGGAATATACGTCCAAGATCGTCTCAGTTACAAAACATCTCCATAATTTGGCCGTCTGAACCGCCATTAAGTCACATAACACAGTTGTTACAATCGTGTGCGACTGTGTCAAGCTTCCGATGTGATCGACCTGATAAACCTGACGACAACATAGTGGATTGGCATTGCACACTCCTTGAAGCTGCAAGATTATACAGCAAAACCCTCAAAAGACTCGAACTCCGGATGGAAGAGAATGGTGCATTTACCTGGACGGATGAATGGCCGCGAAATTTCCTCCTATCTGAAATGGAAGAACTGGAAGAGTTGGAGTTGCACTACACTGCCATTGTGGGCAAACAACGAGGAATCCATTACGTGGAATTGCCTGAAACTCCAGAACCTGCCCGATCGCTCCGTGATCTACTGCCGCCGAATCTAGTCGACTTAAGACTAAAGTATGATAGATCCGCAATGAACGCCAACGTTGACTACACCGCGGAGCTACGGGGCCTTGTGGAAGACAATCTAAAGTTCCCCCGCAAGCTCAAAAAGGTGAGCGTTCATTACTTCCATGACGCAGTGCACTCAAAATTCCCTTTTTCCCTCCACAGCCTTCAGGAATACTTCGAGGCTCATGGTGTCGGATTTCACTATATCATCAGGTACGAGTTAGACAATGAATGTAAGTGCTTCATGTATCCGCAAGCTCGACGTATTCTAATAGCGTTGCTATAGATGATGAGGATTTTCTGGTACAGAATCTGGCTGCCTTGGGCTACGATGGCGCTCATATGTGTAAACGGTCCGTTACGAATCACGACTGGTGGCCATGGATGGGCCCCGAAACACTGCACTTCAGGGTAATGGAAGAGATCAGAGCAGATGAGAGACGTCAAAAGGCGCATTAGTCTGAGGCGACGACAATGACGGACTCAGTGAGCTTAGAGTCAATTAGAGAGCTGCGTCTATAAGCTGTAATCGATTGAACTGTCTCTAGGTCCTACACGCTTCATTTCCAGCTGTCTCCATCCCAAATCACCAAGTGACTTCCCCCGATCGTTGGAGGGGCGATCATACTGATGTCGGAAAACTGTAATCGATTCCAGAATTCTGCCACGCTGCCAGCCTTCATTGGCATCCAGCCAAAGTAACGTTGCCGACCAACTCGCGGGTTTCGCGAGACATAGTCTTCTGGACGGTAGTCGGCGTCCACAGCCTTGATGATGGAAGCGGTGGGGTCTGATAGAGCTTCGTCATCGGCAAAAAGGAATATTCGGTGTAGGTCGTAGTCCGTATTCATTGGTTGTTCGCCCTCGCCTTTATTGTACAGCTCGCGAAGTTGATCCACATCGAGACCAGCCAGCGCAGGGTCTGACCGCGCATCGAGGCGGAAGAGCGCCCACACTTGTTGGAAGCCAGATTCGTCTTCTTCGGTTCCAGTCGCTTCTAGAGCCCCTTCGCGCGCATCGGTTTGGATCTTTTGGAGAAGTCGCTGCCATTGCTGATCAGATGAAGGTCCGTATCCCGTACGGTAGATAGTAAAGCCCCAGTTCCTGTGGCGGACAAATTCATCGTCTTCATAGACGCAGAGATTCTTTATCCATTCTTTGACGGTGGTAGTCATTGGGGAAGGAAAGGAAGATGTTTTAAATTCGGAGAAATACGGATGGAGAGATTGTAATGAGATGCGAATGCAATCGTTTCGAGATATAACCGCTTGATTGAAGATTTATGTAACCACACGGGGTTTGACGTGTTTATAGCGTTCACATTACAAGAGTTGAGGCCTGAATACCTAGGCAGCCATCTGCGGGTGGGTCTGCGCACAGACAGTGCTGCCTTGCGACTCTCCTGCATAGGCAGGTATATATTTGAAGTGCGCGGGCGAGGTTTGAAGGTAATTTAGGTTTTTAGATATATTCATAGCAAAGGTACTCAGATATTCTATGAATCAATTCCTTGGCCAAGTATTGGTTGACAAGTTTGCGCCAATCCATGGGTACCAAACTTCGCGAACTTCCCAGCCACCATATGGACCCTATCAACGACGCTTCAATGCAACTCATACCCAATGAAAATTTGGACTCGTGCGCGTGGGCGATTTCATGTTGCGAATGCAAGGTCCTTGTCTCTTTTTTCTTTCGCACACTACGACCTTTGCCAGATCATAGCACCACCTGGGCACTTCAAGACGGATGAAGAAGATTCGCAAACAAATACGACAATAAATGCACCGCATTTTCTTCTCTCAAGATGCCTTCGCAACTACCTCGCTCAAGGACCCGGATTGATTTCGTCCCGAAAGTGCGCCGACCACGCGAAAAAAGGTCACATGCGTCGCTGCGAAAAAGCACCCTTACTGCTGTTTGCAAGAGCACAATGCTGGAAGTACCGCCCAGACAAGATCCCAATCATGGTCTGCAGTACTTCCCTCTATGGCTAGCTGCTAAGGCAATCTGGCTCGGGATGGACTGGTGCCTCAATCAGGCCTTCGACGGTTTGGAAGCTATAGCTAGATTGCGAAGGAATGGGATTCAGAATCAAGAGATGGACTACCTAGCGAATACCAACTAGCAGAGAGAGATATCCCGACAGTAAGGAAAGAGATTTGAAGATTATACAGTAATTTCGCTAAGCCTACCCAGCGACCGATATACGTCCAACTCCTCTGACCACATCAATATTACCATCGCCATCAACACACTTTACTTTCCGCCACCGATCACGCCCACTGCCCTCCGCTGAGCCGTACCCCTACAGACAGGCGTCTCATCTCGTATCGCCTGCGGCGGAATGCGATACATGACCAGGTACTCACCATAATGCAACCACTCCGCTGCTACCTCTTTGCCACCGGCCGCATCCTTCAGCAGGTCCGCAGCGCGAAACACTGGACCTCTAGCAAAGTGCGCTGGATCTACGGTAACAACCCAGGTGTCCTCGCCATAGCGCTCTCCGAAGTGCTTGGCGACGGCTTCCGCATGAGCTAGGTTGTCGTACACGCTGATGAAGGGGGAAGAGATGTTGGTTTGTTGGTTCAAGTGGGCGAGACCAAAACGGGATAGTGCGGATGTGTAGTTGACGATGGTGGTTTGGTTCTTGGAACTGAAGCCGGTGGAGAAGGCGTAGCGGGTCTGTGAGCTAGTGCGATGGACGCGGTAGACCAGTGTCGGTATGGCGGTTGGGGCGGGGGGTGGTGTCGGTGATGCATGGATCGGGTGGGGTTGTGTAAGAGTGTAAAGTGCTATTTACGTATCAGTATATTGATTCGGGATGTCTGCGAGGGTTCGGAGGTTTACCTGTCATGATGGAGTTGTAATTAATGTGTCTTCAAAACAACGGGTTGTAGCGAATATGAGATGTTGCTGACTGGATATACTGTCCACTTCAAACCCACTTGTAGTGTCTTGGAGGTCTACTGAAAGTAAGTGACAGACAATTCTGAAATGGGAGACTGTATGATGGAAGCTGTTACGTCCAGAAAGAAGTCTTTTATGCCTCCATATGTCAATCGAACTTACAGTCCCAAGAGACCGGTCAATGAGGCCGTTCAAACGGTACAAATGCATTTGAATCAGGAGTTCGTTGGTCATGTTGACTTTCCTTCCGCCGACGGGCATGTACATCGTTTCGTCTGTTCGAGTGTTGACTACCCGAGAGGCAACAAAGAGACAACGAGATCCCACGCTCGGTGCCGTCGGCAGGCCCAACCGGGTTGTGGGGACGGTCACAATACATTTAGTCCTGAGGTACCGTACCGTTGCTACCTTTTTCGTTTGGTGACGGGGGTAAGGCCAGGTGCATGTGGAACGAATCGTCGGTGTCATTGCTTCGAATGCCCTTTCTTCATCGCTATCCGTTTGGTATGCAGATCGCGGTATCTTGCATGACCGCATAATGCGGATTGTGCATCAGGCGTGTCGACGCGAAGGTCCTCTTAGCGAGGCACGTTTGGACCTCTAGTGTACTCCGATGCGGATGCGGAGAACAGCGCCATGAATGATGGTTTGAGACCCCCGTGACAGCGGATATAAAGGGACGGGCTATTGACGGAAGGTGCATCAGGAAACACATAACTGCAGACATAACGGGTTTGGTGTTTGACAGGAACACCAGATTCGACATGGAGACGTCATCTTTCCAAAACTGCCAGGAAAAGACTGGACGAAAGATAGAATTTTTGATACATGGCTTTCTGTGCCGCTGGAAGCGTCAAGGCATCGGACCGATGTGTCGTTTCCTTGAAATCCGATATTGGGGTCGTACAGCCAAACGGGCAGACGCATCCAGTGGAGCGTCAGGCATCACATCCTATTTGCCGTATGCACCGTATTGTAGATAGGGACGTGCAGTCCCTCCCGAGTACCGAATGCACATCGGGGATGGAAATTCACAGTGCCGCGTCCAGGAGCGCGGGAGGAAGGCGGCCTGCGTGGAGTAGTGACGACACCTGTGGATAGGTTCTCACCGCTCCTTCTTCAGACGGCGCCGGTAGAATCGAGCTGACCATAACGCGATTGACATTCATGATGGAAGATGGGTGCGAAGACAGGAGTGAAGGTCCCACACGTGGTTCGGCATCCGCCCCGCGTGGGTCTATGCCATTTCGGGACAAGCGTCGCATTCCGAGGTCTCCAGAAGTCCGAAAAGTTGGTGGTGACAATCGCAGGCGCGCAGGCGGGCATCAACGTTACATCGCCACACAAACGGTATGTGAAGCTGCTCAAGACATTAACACTTCAATCTGACGTCTCGGTAGCTAATTTGACTCCGTGTCGCCGCGGAACCTACGCCAAACGCCACAGCAAACCCATTCAAAGCCACTCGCAAACGCACCGAGACCTCGCATCGAAGCCACCAACTCTCTACATCACATACCCACCATGTCTTATTTCCGGATAACACTCATGCGCTCCGGCATCGGTATGCCTGAGAAGACGCAAGGAGTCCTCAAGGCGCTCGGTCTCCGCAAACGCATGACGACTGTCTACCATCCCGTTACACAATCCGTCGCTGGTCAGATCATGAGGATAAAGGAATTAGTCGACGTCAAGGAGGTCAATAACCCAATGACGAAGGACCAAATGCGCGCTGCGAGGAGACCCGATCCGGGGTACTACATCGAGCAGAGGGCGGGCGAGGCTATGGGGGCGTACGAATAGAACCGAGAAGTCATGCGTAAAGCTTGAACTACAGGACTGTACATTATGATACGACTGGGCATGCATATATGGCGTTTTGGAAGATAATATGCCTGAACAGAGCTGTATTGCAACTCAATGAGGACTGGAATGACATGGTGTCACACCGGGCACGAGATGATGTACTACGGTTTTAATGTCTTTGCGTGTTGAACGTGGCACCTTGTCTACGCAGTTGTGTAGTTGAGTCTGGCCCATATCCGTTGGGTTCGACTGTCGTACCCTCTACACAGTACAACCAAACCAAATCTTGACATCACCAAGCCTCATCAGAACTTGCTCTGAATAGATCAGTAGCCATCGACAGGCCTGCATCGCCACTAGGAATTTCTAGGATCAGAACGATTACGCTCAGTGGTGAGTGTATATCAATGAGCGAATGAGCTGCAGTCTGACTGACACATGACAGCTGAGCCCTCAGCTGAACCCTCAGCCACCACGCGCGTTGTGGTCCAACTATGCCAACTATGCACAGCCCACTTGCTGAGATGACTTGTCGGCTTGCCCTCAGCATTTTGTCTCCGCATCCCATCACTCTTCAAACTCGCAGGCTATTCATCTAAGACGGGCACCTCATGCAATGGCTCTGTCTTCACAATCCTTCACTGGATCCAGCTTACCGTTTCGTGGCGTTCAAAACGACACCAGCGCCTTTCTACCACTCGACCCGAGGCTGAGAGAAATCAGATGCATCGCGATCTTGCCTGAAGCGGACGAAGAATGTATCACTTGCGAACTAGTGTACACGAACCTGGAAGGAAACGCTATCGACCGTATTTCTTACGTCGCGCTGTCCTACTGCTGGGGTGACGTCGACGATACAGTGCTGATATCGCTCAAATGTCCTTCGTTGAAGGGCCCGCAAACGCCAACCGCGACATCGGTCCCTATGCCATCACTCTTCATCACCGTACCCTTTCAAGTCACGCGAAATTTACACACTGCGCTAACGGCACTCCGGAAACTCGATGCATCTGAAGAGAAGGGAGTTCGGTACTACTGGATCGATGCAATGTGTATCGACCAAAGCAACGGCCAGGAAAAGACACACCAGGTCGGCTTCATGGGCAAGGTGTTCTCATCTGCCGAATCCGTGTTTGTTTGGCTGGGGCCCGAGAACGTATACAGTCGGATTGTGTGCAAGATGTATGACACCGCCTTAGGCCCTCTTCTCCAGCGCTGCTTCGCTGACGGAGAAGATCGGTCGTACAAACACCATGCTGAGTGGGAGAATTTGGCCAGCAGAATACCTCGCTTGTTGCGTCAAGATCTTGAATTGAGTAGCTTGGTCTCCAGTTTTCCCCGGGGAGACGTCAATGCATCCTTTATAGTTGATGACATCGACGACGCTTCCTACTGGTCCGCGATCCTTGTCAGCTTCGACAGTTTGCTTGCTAGGCCATGGTGGTACAGGATATGGGTCCTTCAAGAAGTAGCTCTTGCACGCCGAGACGGCCTTGGTGCTCTTCAAGTCGATTTTTGGATGGGTGGGCGCACCTTGAAATGGGCAGCCATAGGAGAGATTGCGCAGGCTATTGCTGAGCTTGGCATGAGGAGTTATTCGCCACATTTCGCTCCTTTCCGGCATACCGAATCGAACTTCACTAATTTCACCTGGTTTCATATCTCGTGGTGGACACCGGTACTCGCCATGGCCCGGCATGAATCACGTCCGACAATACTTGATCTCATGGAACGTACGCGACACTTCGGTACTACAGATCCGCGGGATCGATTCTTTGCCTTGCTTCATCTTGCCTGTGATACCTCTGAGATCTTCCGCGACGAACCTCTCATATGCCCAGATTACAACAAAACCCTCGGCTCGGTAGTCGAGGATTACGTCTTCTGGCAGAAGAAACAGATACGATGCCTGAGCGTTACCGTAGATGCCAGGACTATGGCAAGAGCCGCAAGGAGACATAGTTCGCTCACGTGGAGCCCTGCGTCCAGAATGTCCGACTTTAGCAACACCCGATCCCCCCAGAAATATTCCGACACCCCCTATGGTACCAATTCATTCAGGACTTCTGGGTTTAGCATGACATCCTTAGTACCGTGGAGGGGGATAACGTTGACGACGATTGAGCGTCCGATCAGTCAAGAGATTGACTTCTTGCAGGATAAGTGGAGTCTGCAGATACCCATCATGGAGCCACACACACTACATTACATGGAAGAAATTATTGCGTCTTCTTGTCGCTATGCAATCGTTCCAGAGGAATACAGATCTGCCGCTGATTACGGGTTTACACAGATGTTCCGACTGGGCCTATTACCCCCGCCACCAAACAGGGAGCAGCAGCTATTGAGTACACGTATTCTCAATAGTTCCACAACTTCCAGCAGACGAGCTGATGAACGTACCTCTAGCGTACGAATTAACGGAGACGCCTGGACCTTGAAAAAGCAACGCATGTTCTCTGCAAGTGATGGAAACATGATCATCGGTCGAGAGGACATGTTACCCGGGGACATCATTGTCATGTTAGATGGCGTCGACGTACCCGTTGCTCTACGTCAAACGAAAGCGGACCATTATCGAGTCCTTGGTCCATGTGGTGCTCTAGAGCGATACAAGAAGGCACATACTATTTCAGATCAGACTTTCATGTTTGCTGAAGGGTCGATTGTTGAATATGAAAACGAAAATCAACTGATGGTGGTGCAACCTTACCTGACAAATCAGCGACAATATCATAACTTCAGGTTGTCCCGCGCAGGCAACACCGCGTTCAGATGCGAACCCCCCCACGATGGTCAGTACCAAACTTCTACGCAACCACCACAGGCCCAATACCAAAAAGATCTAACTCCCTGTTCTGCACCCAAACACCCCTCGCAATATTCCTACCAACCCACGGCTCCAGGCTCCACCCCAACGCACCCACCAGCCATAAAAAGCCGACCACGCGCCAAAATAACCTATCCTTCAACCCCATCGCCTTCCCCAAGTCAATAAGATGATCCTCCACCATAATAATCGCAGCCTGCAACAAAAAGCACTTCAACGCGCCATCATCATCAAACTCGACATTGACCAGCATACTCGCGACCCCGTGCACCAAGCCCGAAATACCAAACGCAACGAAAAGCTGAATATACTTGGACGCAAAAGAACCCTTCCGCAAACCCAACACATCCCTCGCTAACCAAACACTAAGCGGAGAGCAAATCCGACGGCATTGCTGATGCCACACCACAGACCAAGCGCTGCGCACACTGTACAAATCGCGGAACCTACCAAACATGGAGGGGCAGTCTCGTGGATTAGCGAGACCGGTGGCTACGGATACAATGCCGTAAGCGATGTTGTAGAACTCCATGGTGGTGAATGTGAGCATGATATGAAGCCAAGTGTAGTAGAAGCGAGTGAGGAAGGGAGAGTCAACCGGGAAGGGCTGGTGTGGTTTCTGCGTGCGGATATCGATCCAGGAGCCGTGGGGGGATGCGGCGGAGTGGCAGACTATAATGTCTTTTATGACGAAGAAGATGAGGCCGCGTACGAGCTTTCGGGCGATGAATTTACTTGGTTGGGTTAGTTGAGTCGGGGATGATAGGTTGGGGGTAGACTTACAGACGAGGGTAGTCGCCCGGTACTTCCATGCACACATTCTTGACCTGACTACTCCATCCCGTGTAACGGCTCCACGTCGAGAGACGAAGAGCCCACCATGCTCTGCTCCAGAAACTTCTCCCTGCACCACCAGGTCTGTCTCTGTAATCCAGCTGTTTCACGTCGTCATTCTTCTTGTCATTTTCATCCTTCTCATATTGTATCTTGTACCACCCGTCTTTGTCGGGGCTCCCCAGTAAGATCCAGTCAACATAGGTGAACACACGAGCGCCCACTCCACAGTTGATTGCTAGGTTGTAGCCCCAACCTGCATCCCCCCATTCTCGGTAAAGAGATTGAGCGGCGAGGAGAAGGAGAAGAGGGAGAGTGATAGCGATACGAGGGAGGCGGTGATCGGGTCCGGTGGCAAGGGTAAGGATGTTGAGTAGGTAGAGAAGGGGTACTTGTAATGTTATGATGATATCGGGAAGTTTAAAAAGAGACATTGCTATGATGCCGGCTCCGCAGTCCAGGAGATGGGAAGACTGGACTTACTGCGCATCGGTACATTGCGGCATACGACGGAATTTATATAGAGTGGGATATGATGCTTTGACCGGCCGTAAGATCTTAGTGTTCGTGGGTCGATTAGGGATCCTCCCTACATGCTGGCTTGGCCCAATGAGATGGGTTCGAGTACGTTAGCGCTAAGGTCCGTGATTTCGGGACAATGTCCCTGACTAGTGCAGTCAGATCGCGAATAGAAGGCCGTGAACTGTCATCTTAACCGCAATGTGGTCTTGAAAATTGGTATCATTACAATGCTATAGTCGTGGTTGTAGTCAATGCTGCAGATGGGTAGCCAGGTCGACACGCTGTGGCATTCCAGATTTGACATGTCCTCTCAGCACCTCTACTAAATTTCCACATCTTGAAAACTGGCTCCATCGCCATCGTCTTCAGCTGATGCTTGGCCTGGCTTCGGTCTCTGTGGTAAACTTGCTTCCAGAGACTTCTCGTCGTTGGGCTCAGGCTCAGATTCGTCCTCCTCGCTATCCTCTTGCTGTGGTTCCTTCCCATTTTGCGGCTTGAGATCCTCGGTTCGAGCCTTTTGCTCTTCTGTCTGCGTCTTCGGTTCCACTGAGTTTCGCTCGCTCTTCTCGCTAACGTCGTCTTTGGGCGGCGGAGGGGGTGGTGCTGTACCGTCGGTATCGCGGTCACGTCTCGGTTGCTCGGGTGTAGGTGGTGTCACCTCGGTGCGCGGGCTCATGATGGGACTTCTGGGTTGCTGCTGCTGCTGTTGTTGCTGAGGCTGCTGTTGTGATTGCTGGGCGGGTTGCTGGGAACCTCCTGGACCGACGCTTCGTAACCTAGGGTCCGCGTTCAGGTAGTAACCCCTCACACCGACGATCCTGCCCTCCCTCTCGCAGCCTATGACCCAATCCGGGACGACTACAGGTATGTTGTTTTCGACCGCCTTCTCCCATGCAGGCCCTCTGCCTTCGGTGCATACGAAGTGCGTGGTATCGATGCGCACATTGTCCGCGATCTTGGCGCCGATTCTTTCCACAGACCGCTGTAGAGACTCTCGGAGAGCCGCAGGCATGTGGCCGGGCGTGATGGTGATACCAGACAAGTCCGTCATCTTGTGTGTTTGTACCAACAGCTTCTCGCTACTGAAAGTACCCGCGCTTGTCTTGAGGACTAAATGGAACTGATATTCCGTGTCGACTGCCAGACCACTCAGCTTGGTGCTGTGCACGTCACTGGGCTTGGGTATTGTGCCTGCCTTGTTGCCATTGCGGTATAGTGTGAGGCTGCGCAGTTCGGCGGTCGCGATATCGATGGGGTCCCACTCGAGAACGACTGAGGTTTGCGTGGCATTGCGGCATTTGAGGACGGGGGCTGAGGGGGTGCGCTGGCCAAAGGTGCGGAAGATCTCCGACTGGAGCTCATGGAAGGCTTTCTGGGCGTCGGCTTCGGCTTTGTAGTTTCTTCCAACATCGATATCCACCATGGAGCCCGACGAGATGTCGGGGGGTAGCAATATAGAAGGGAACTCAATCTACCTTTACGTCAGCCAGATGAAGAGCAAGGATGCGCTTGCGCTGCGTTGAGCGCTGGGCGGCATTGAGGGGCTCACGAGACGCTTGTCTTCTGTCAGTAGCACTGCTACTCCAGCATCGACCTTTCCGACTGTGAGGGAGACGAGCATCTTGGGCGTGACTGTGTGAGGGTGTCGGACTTGGGAGACGTGTAATGTTTGGTAGAGCTGAGCGGCCGCGTACCTGACCATCAATGGCGCGGCCCGAAGAATCGCCGTGGCAGGCGCTAGCGGCCAGCTCTGGTCCACGCCCCTCTATGTTTTTCTATCAACACCATAGCATACCTAAGTAGAGCAAGCGCCATGGGAAGGCTACGCAGCGCTCATGGCGACTAAAGTGACATGATACAAGACTATGTAGTTACCTGCACGGTTGTAAGTCGTGCCTCGACTTGGTGGATACGCAAACGAAGCACCCGCGATTGGCCTTGAGCACCAAATCCCTCGTTTTAACTTGGGTAGTGATACCTACGTCTATTCTTGCGATGCACAGTTCCAGCGATTCGGGTTTTGCTTGGAAACATCACAATCTTCCAGCAAGCTTGCCAGTCTCTGCATGGCCCTCGTACAGCGTTGGAATAGAAATACGTATACTTGCCGGATTTTCAGCTACGCGTTTGGAGGCATGTGAAAGAGGTCATTCGTGCATCAGCAATTCATGACTAGCGATGATGCCTTGGTCGGCTGCTATGCAAAGTTCGGTCAACATGTATGTGTACCAACATGATCGCTCGATAGCGCTGTTGGGTTCAGAGGTGAAAGTAAACTATAATGTCGTGGCTAGGAGTAGGACTGAGCCGCATCATATGAGCGCTGCTCAAAGGGAACATCTAATCGATTCCGGTCAAAGTTCATGTAGGGCGGCCAGACCTGCCACACCGACTTCCCAGCCCCCCTTGCGAGAATTGTAGACGCTGTATCGTATTCTTCAACTTCTCGGCTCGTGTGCGTTCGTTTCAAAATATTAAACTTAACCTTTTCTCACCGAAGACTTGCAGCTGATGACGTCACTCATTACCCTTGACCTCCCGTACATGAGTAGCCATACGACTGGATATGTTTAGTGCTACCCCTCGGATGTCGGTGATGCATCACGTGAATTGGCGTCTGGCGCGCAGGCTCGGAAACGCGACCATATGCATCCCAACTCTTGTACATAACTGTGCTGCATGCCGCGGAAGCAGGGACAACACCACGCTCCAAAGTCGATACGTGTGGCATGCGAATCCCCATGCCGGGATCCGCTGTCAGCACTCCACACCCC